TCTTCCTCTCCTAGGAATATATATGTATATTTACATTTTACTCACCCAGATGGTCCAGAATAAACTCTCCTTCAATTCTTGAAGATCTTTAATTACATCTGCAAAGTTCCTTCTGCCACATAAAATATCATTTCACAGGTTCTGGAGATTAGAACACGAACATCTCTGGAGGTCATTACTCTGCCTATGTTGAGCTAGATAATATCTCTACAGTCATTTAAAAATATTTATTTAATAAATTCTATTCAGCAAGAAGTGCATGAGTCACTAGGCATAAAAGGCTGAGCAATATGCAACACCTCTTCTCTCATGCAGGAGATAAGATGGTAAAAGAGGAAGACATTAGTCAAACCATCATGCAAATATGTAATTACTCTATGTGATCAAGAAACTGAAGCTGATGTACAGAAAGCTAGGGCAGCTTATGAAAGGGAGACTGGATACAGCCTGACATATCAGAGAAGGTTTCCCTAAACAATAAGAGGAAAATGAGAAGTGCCTATTTCACTTGTGAGGTCAATTAGATAGTGGAGGATTGCAAATAGTTTTTCCTGACAGTAACAGTTGAGAATATAGGCATATCCCAGATTTCACCAAATTGATAAATAAAATTGCAGATGAAAGAAATTCAGAAAAAGATGGGTTGACAACTCTAAAGCTTGGCTATGAGGAGGGGGAGGGACAAAAACGAGAAGGGAATGTGAATTTGAAGGAGAAACAAGAGAAATATAAATGTTAATGAGAAAGTAAAAGTAACAAAATAGAGATTAAAGACACAGTATTAGGAAGGAATAACTGACAAAAGACCCCAAACCAACAAGTAGGAAATGGATCCACAGCCTAGATGGAGAAATAAATCTTAGATCATTCCTCTCATTGTATCAAGAGGAAAAGATAAGGTAAAAAGTTAAAGTTAAATTTTAGGTATACAGTCAAGAATTAGATTCTTTCTGATAGAGTTCATATCCTACAAAAGTAGAAGGCATAGTCCTAGGTGCTTAGCAGTCAAAGTGATGTTTCAGAGAAAACAGGACAGTTGGAGTGATGAACAATTAATATTTTGCCAAGTGGATGATATGAAAGACAGGACAATGGAATAGGGTGTATTGCTGACAAACTTGTTATATATGTGAGATTAAAGAAAATACCAAAGAGGGGAGGGGACTAAATAGAAAAGTTATGTCACTGACTCTTTCAATTTGTTCACTGACAGATCTATGAAGATCTACTACATGCCAAGGTATTAAATCTATTCCAGGTATTAAAGAGTAAGAAACGAGCAATTTCGGTAAGGCTGAATAAGGAAGTGAAATAAATGTAACAGATTTAGAAAGATTAGCTGAAGTTATAATCTAAAATTGATTTTATTTTTTTTTAATTTTTATTTATTTATGATAGTCAGAGAGAGAGAGGCAGAGACACAGGCAGAGGGAGAAGCAGGCTCCATGCACCGGGAGCCCGACGTGGGATTCGATCCCGGGTCTCCAGAATCGCGTCCTGGGCCAAAGGCAGGCGCCAAACCGCTGCGCCACCCAGGGATCCCCCTAAAATTGATTTTAAATTGAAGTTATAGATGTTATCATTTGGGAGTGGCTGATTTAAGTATCAGAAACAAAAGTGCTTAAAGAAAAAAAGACAGTGAATTCATTGACTCGAGTAAATTAAAAATACAAGAAATGAGTTAATTCAATTCCAGAGGCCCGAAAGCTCAGATATGAAGACTTGATTTATCTCCTTTCTTGTGTATAAATTATTATTATTTTGTTTCAATTCCCAGCTATAACAGTTAGCTCAAACCTTTTCCTTCAGAGAAAAATGGCCACAGGAACTTCAACCTCCTATATCCTTTTAATCACATCCAATAAGAAACACCAAGAGTGTTTCCCAATCTTCCACAAATATTCTGTGACAGAAAGTGATTGGACCATCATAGGGCAAGCTAAACCAATTACTGTCCTGGCAAGACAGCAATACTTTGGTTCCATGAGTGTTCTCCAGGCAGAAAACCACCAAGACAAATGGCCTTGGATTCCCAAAAGAAAAATGAATAAATGAAATAGAAAATTATACTAGAAGAATACAAATTAGAGGGTGAGGAAGTAAAGGATGGCCACTAAAGTCATATTTTTCCCAATATTTCTAATATTAACATTTTTTCTTATATGGCCATGAGAATTGACAAAATCAGAGAAGCGTCACAAGTTGAGATATTCAAATCACCTACAATAACAGCATATCTCAAAAAGGAATAGATTTTCATGTGCCAACTTTTTAAATAAAATTGAATGAGAAGACTAATGGGTAAAATAAATGGTAGAGGTGGCAATGCTAGATGACTTAAACCTACCATTAGTTTTCTGAATGTTGTATCCCACACATTGTGAAACACCATTTTAATTGTTCTTAAATATTATCCTTAAAATAATACTAGCTTTATTTTTTATTTTTTTAATACTAGCTTTAAATTTTTTAACTTATCTAACATATTTTTAAATGTTTTTGGAAATTAAAATACACTAAAAATACACAATGTATTTTAAGATTTATAACTATTTGATATAGGACATATATTTAATCCTTGTGTTATTTTTAATTGAAGTATAGCTTACATATTAGTACTGAATTACTATTCAGCAATTCCATTCATATTGCAATGCTCACCACTACATACTAAGTGTACTTATGAAGTTTTACCATAGTTACTACAGTGTTAGTGACTATATTCCCTATTCTATACTTTTCATCCTTGTAACTGACTTTATAACTACAAGTTTGTACTCCCTAATCCCCTTCATCTTTTTTCCTAATTCCCCACTCTCCTCTCCTCTGACAACCACCAGTTTTTTTTCTCTGCATTTAGGAGTCTGATTTTTTAGTTTCCACATGCAAGGGAAATCATATGATATTCATCCATTTCTGACTTATTTCATAATACTTACAGCATAATACCCTCTATGCCCACCCATTTTGTCACAAATGACAAAATGTCAACTTTTTATAGCTGAGTAATATTCTATGTGTATGTATACTGCATCTTTTTTATTCATCTACTGATAGGTATTTAGCTTGCTTCCGTATGTACTAATATAAATAATGCTACAATAAACACAGGAGTGCATATATAATTTCAAAGTAGTGTTTTCATATTCTTCAGGTAAATACCCAGAAGTGAAATTGCTGGATCATTGGATATATTTTCAATTTTTTGAGGAACTTCCCTACTGTTTTCCAAAGAGGTCACACCAACCTGCATTCTCATCAAGAGTGTACAAGGATTTCCCCTTCTCCACATCTTTACCAACACTTATTATTTCTTGTCTTTTGGATACTACACATTCTGAGTGGTGTGAATTGAAACCTCATTGTGGTTTTTATTTGGATTTACCTGATGATTAGTGATGCTGAGCATCTTTACATGTGTCTGCTGGCCATCTATATACCTTCCTTTAAAAATTGTCTATTCAGGTCCTCTGTCCATTTTTAATAGGATTATTTGGGGGTTTTGGCATCAAGTTGTAGGACTTCTTTATATATTTTAGATTATTAACCCCTCATCAGATATATGATTTGCAGATATTTTCTCCTGTTCAGTAAATTGTCTTTTTGTTTTGTTGATGGGTTCCTTTTGCTGTGCAAAAGCTTTTCAGTTTGATATAGTCCAAATAGACTTTTGTTTCCCTTGCCTAAGAAGACATATCCAGGGGATCCCTGGGTGGCTCAGTGGTTTAGTGCCTGCCTTTGGACCAGGGGGTGATCCTGGAGTCCCGGGATCGAGTCCCACATCGGGCTCTCTGCATGAAGCCTGCTTCTCCCTCTGCCTGTGTCTCTGCCTCTCTCTCTCTCTCTCATAAATAGATAAAATCTTAAACAAAAAAAGAAGACATATCCAGTAAAATGTTGCTGAGGTTTATATCCAGGAGATTACTAGGTTTCCTTCTAGAACTTGTTTGGTGTCAGGTCTCACATTTAGTCTTTAATCCATGAACTTCATTTTTATGAATGGTGTAAGGGAAGTGGTCCAGATTCATTCTTCCCCAGGTAGCTGTCCAGCATTCTCAGCACCATTTGTTGAAGAGATTGTCTTTTCCTTATTGTATATACTATTTCCTCTTTTACAGATTGATTGGCCATATAAGCGTGGTTTATATCTGGGCTCTCCATTCTGCTCCATTAATCTATGTGTCTACTTTTGTCCTACAGATACTATTTTGATTACTATAGCATTGTAATCCCCATTGAAATCTGGGATTATGATACCTCCAGCTTTGTTCTTATTTCTCAAGATTACTTTGGCTATTTGGGATCTTTTATGGTTCAATACAAATTTTAGGATTATTTTTTCTAGCTTTGTGAAAATATTATAGGTATTTTAATAGAGATCACATTCAATTTGTACACTGCTTTGGGTAGGATAGACATTTGTAAAATATTAATTCTTACAATCCACAAGTATATGTTTATTTGTATCACCTTCAAGTTCTTTCATCAATGTCTTAAAGTTTTAAGTATAGGTCCTTCAATGCCTTGCCTAAATTTATTCCTATTTATTGTTTTTGATGCAATTGTAAATGTGATTGTTTTAATTTATCTTTCTGCTAGTTCATTAGTGTGTAAAAACAATTGATTTCTGCATATTGTGTATCCTGTAATTTTACCAAATTCATTAGTTCTAATAGTTTTTTAGTGAAAATTTTTAGGATTTTCTCTATACAATATCATTTGGATGTCTTTCTTTTTCTGGTCTATTTGCTATGGATATGATTTCCAGTACTATGTTGAATGTAGTTGTCAGAATGGACATTCCTGATCTTAGAGAAAATAGTTTCAGTTTTTCATTATTATGATAGTAGCTGTGGATTTGTCATATAAATGTGTTGGGTTTTTTTTACCAGTCAACTATTATTGGATATTAATTGTGAATTAGGCAATGGAAGGATTCAAAGATGCCAGGCAAAAGTCATGGTCAGTAATGCCAAATGTGCTTCCACACTGGGCCCTCTTCAGTGGTACTTGCATAACCATTCATGTTTGAGCTCCTTGTAAGAATGACAGTAGTTGAAAAGCATATAAGCAGCCAGCACCATAGAAATCCCAGCAACACACCCTTTCTTCACATTGATATACTTGCTGTAATACCAGTAGTAACCTTTTTGAAATGTTCCAGCAATGCCCTTAGGGGTAAAATCCTGCATCTGTATCCAGCCTGGCAACTCTCCTAGTTTCACCTCCATGAGCTTCTTTTCCTTCACTGGTATGGATGAACAACACCATCTTGGAGTCCTGGGTGTCCCTAAATGTGTTTTATTGTGTTGAGTTATCTTCCCTTCATATCCACTTTGTTGAGTTTTTACTATCAGTAGATGTTGAATTTTGTCCAATGCTTTTTCCTTGTCTATTGAGATTGTTACATGATTTTTATCACATGTGATGTATCACATTGATTTCTGGACATTGAACTCTCTCTTTATCCCTGCAAGTAAACCCCTTGATCATGATAAATCATCCTTTCAGTGCATTTTGATTTTGGTTTGCCAATATGTTGTTGAGGATTTCTGTATCTATATTCATCAAAGATCTGGGTCTGTCATTTTCTTTTTTGCACTATATCTGCCTGGATTTGGTATTAGGGTAATAATAGCCTCATTTTTTAAAGATTTTATTTATTTATTCATGAGAGACACACAGAGGGAGGCAGAGACATATGCATAGAGAGAAGCAGGCTCCTTGCAAGGAGTCAGATATGGGAATTGATCCCAAGACTCCAAGATCACATCCTGGGCCAAAGGCAGACACTTCACTGAGCCACCCAGGCGTCTCAATAACAGCCTCTTAGAATGAATCTGGAAACATTCCTTCCCTCTCCTATTTTTTTTTTTTTGGAGGAGTTTGAGAGGGATAGGGTCTAACTTTTCTTTACTTGTTTGGTAGAATTCACCTGCCAAGCTACCTGGTTCTGGACTTATGTTGTTGGGAGTTTTCTAAATTACTTAACTTCATCACCAGGAATCAGTCTGTTCAGATTTCTATGGCTTCTTGATTCAGTCTGGAAATATTGCACATCTCTAGGAATTTGTCCACTTCTAGGTTCTCCAATTTATTGACATATAATTTTTTGTAGTATTCTAGTTCTTTGTATTTCTGTGGTGTTGGTTGGAATTTTGTAATTTCTGATTTTGAGTTCTGTTTTTCATGATGAGTCTGCCTAAAGGCTCTTTAGTATTTTTCAGTTTTTCAAAGAACCAGCTCTGAATTTCATTGATATTTGTTTTTTAAGTCTCTTTCATTAATTTCCTCTCTGATCTGTATTATTTCCTTTTTTTTCTACTAACTTTGGGCTTTGTTCCTTTTCTAATTCCTTTAGGTGTAAGCTTAGATTATTTGAAATTATTCCTGTTTCTTGAGGTAGGCCTATAATGCTGCAAACTTCCCTTCTGGACTCCTTTTGCTGCATCCAAAGATTTGGAAATCATTGTTTCCATTTTCATTTGTCTCTAGGTACTTTTTAATTTCTTCTTTGATTTCACTGACTCTTTGGCTGTTTAGTAGAATATTGTTTAGCCTCTATGTGTTTGGAAGGTTTTTTTTTTCCTTGTTTTTCTTAAAACTGAGTTCTCGTTTCATAATGTTGTGGTTGGAAAACATGCTTGGTATGATTTTAATCTTAAGTTTATTGAGATTTGTTTTCTGGCCTAACATGTGATCTATCCTAGAAAATGTGTTTCATGTGCAACTGAAAGGAATGTGTATTCCGCTGTTTTTGGATTGAAAGTTTGATACATATTTGTTAGGTTCATCTGGCCTAATGTGTCATTCAAAGCAATTTTCTTACTGACTTTCTACCTGAATGATCTATCCATTGATGTAAGTGGGATATTAAAGTCTCCTACTTTTACTGTATTACAGTTTATTTATCCCTTTATGTCTGCTAATATCTGCTTTATACATTTAGGAGCTCCTATGCTGGGTTAATAAATATTTACAGTTGTTACAGTCTCTTCTTGGATTGACACTTTTATTATTATGTAACACCTTTCTTGTCTCTTGCTACAATCTTTGTTTTAAAGTCTATTGTGCCCAATATAAGTAATTCTACCCCAGTATATTTTTTTTGCTTGCATTTGCATGCAATATTTTTTTCTATCCCTTCACTTTCTGTATATGTCTTTAGGCCTGAAGTCTTTTGCAGGCAGCATGTCGGTGGGTCTTTTTTTTTTTTCTTTTTAATCCAGTCATATCTTTTGATTGGAGCACTTTCTGTCCCTTCCCTCTGGCTCCTTACCACCCCCCTTCATATTATTTCTAAAATAAATAAATAACTATAATTTTTTTAAATTCTTACTTTGTAATGCTCCTATGCCATAAACTTTAATAACATTTGCTTTCCATTTCTACATTCTCAAAATTATTTTATGAAACTTCATTTTACATGGTCTTATATACATGCATACATATATTAGGAAAATTTATATTCATAGGCAAAATAATTCTTTTTAAAGATTTTATTTATTTATTGAGAGAAAGAGAATGCAAGCAGGGAAGAGGGAACAACTGGAGAGGGAGAATCCCAAGCAGACTCCATGCTGAGCATGGAGCCATGCCAGGCTTGATCCCATGACCCTGATACCATTACCTGAGCTGAAATCAAGAGTCAGATCCTTATCCACTAAGCCACACAGGTGTCCCCCCAAAATTTTTTTGTCAAGAATCTAAATTATTACACATTTTATAATAATATAATAAAGTAGGTCTACTATTGACTTTTTGAGAAATAGAAATTATGAGAAATCCAACTTATTTTCAGTTTTCAGTATCACTATCATATGTCTAATCTGAAACAATGTATTTTCAGATTCAGTGCTTTTAGAAGATCTTATTCACGTTAATTTCATGAAAGATTATCCTATTACTGAAAAAATAAGCATCCATTTCACTAGAGGATGAAATGAATCAATGAAAGAAAAAAATCTCCTTGCTTTATCAATCAATTTAAATCATTCGAGTAGCTTATGAATAGAAGTTTTTGTAACCACAAATAGCTTTTAGTTGGAAGCAAAATGTTAAATCAGTTTTTATAATTTTTGGCATTAGGAATAAAAATCAACTCTATGGACATTCAGTAGAAACAAGAACATAATACATCCTGAAGCTATTGAAACCAAATCCCACATTATTCTATTGCAGCAATTTACTGAAACAATCATTACCATATCAGAATTGCCATTGGATATTAGACCTAAGAAACGTATATCTACCTTCTTACCTTGTGAGCAGTTAGGCTGAATGGATACTTCTCTTCCCCTTGTCCCTCCCCCTTTCATTCTCCCTTCCTCCCCCTACTGTTGTAGAAAAATAGTTTGAGAAAAACACCTTTTCATTATTCTATAATCGTTTCAAATTCATGATGTTTGACAAGAATTAAATGTATAGTTATGAATCTATACTTGTGGTAGTACTTTTCTGATTTGCAAACAAATTGTTCCTTAGTGAGATAAACAGACAAAATAGTACCTTTTGGTGGGTAAAAAAGAAATGGGCTTTCTTTTTAAGTAAGGGAAATTTAGTCTTGAGAAATAAGTGAATTGATTTTCAAAGAATGATCAAATTTCTCCACTTCTTCAAATAAAATTCCAATGTAGCAATGTATAGCAGTAAAGAGCCCCCTTGTGAGGTATTATCTTACTGTTCTGCACTGTAAGAATACAATGGCTATTAAAAACAACAAGTTCTAACATACTTACAGTATTTCTTACTGTCAAACCATATTGCCATAGTTCGTGATATTAACTTCACTTAAAGAAAATGTATTTCAGATATTCTTGGGAACTGAAAAATCTGTGTAAATTATACTCTAGCATTGTTCACATAAAGAAATTGTAGAAGAAAGGTCTTTAAAACACCAAAACATATGGATTACCTGGAGCTTTTTTTTTTAACAGAGCATGAATATGAATACATTCATGTTTATTTGCCCCCACCTCAAGTTTTGAATGTTTTTAGGGGAAGTGAGAAAAATAGATTTTGGTGAAAATGAAAGGAGGATATGTAAGTCTCAACCCCATGACCTGAGTTTGAAGCACAGAGATATTGTTCTTATCTATAAACTTTGCCTTTGAGAGTTAAACATAACAAAGAATGTATACTGGGTAAGAGCAAATGCTTTGGGAATACTAACTTATTCATCAAACCAACACTTACTAAGTGTCTACCATACACAGCTCCAAATAAAGATAGGTAACACTATTTGCTCTCAAGTAGCTCACTGGTCTAAATGGGGGTCAAAAAATCCCATTAAGAACAATATAGTCAATATAAAAAATAGTGAAAGGGAATAAAAGGGAAAGGAGAAAAATGAGTGGGAAATAGCAGAAAGGGAGACAAAACATGAGAGACTCCTAACTCTGGGAAATGAACTAGGGATGGTCGAAAGGGAGGTGGGTGGGGGGGTGACTGGGTGACGGGCACTGAGGGGGGCAGTTGATTGGATGAGCACTGGGTGTTATTCTATATGTTGGCAAATTGAACACCAATAAAAAATAAATTTATAAAAAAACTGAGGAAATCTTAATAAAGTGTTGACTTTAGTTAAAAAAAAAAAGAACAATATAGGCAAAATTAGTAACATGTATATGCACCAGTTACTAAAGAAACACAAGAGTTTGCAATACTGAGGGTGGGAAAAAAAGTACTCAACTTAATACAAATATGCAAAAGAAAGAATACTACAACAGAAAACTGAATTGCAAATACCTTAATATATTTGGAATACAGAACTATGAGTAATTTTAAGAGAACAAGGCGGGGCTTTTAATGCTTTGTTAAAAAGATAGGCATTATAAATAATGAGATGCCACTGAAGAATTTTTTTCATATAGTAATAACATTTTAAATTGTTTATATTTTTCTGGGGATCCCTGTGTAGCTCAGCAGTTTAGCTCCTGCCTTCGGCTCAAATCGTGACCCTGGAGTCCCGGGATCAGATCCCGCATTGGGCTCCCTGCATGGAGCCTGCTTCTCCCTCTGCTTGCCTCTCTCTTTTTCTGTGTCTCTCATGAATAAATAAATAAAATATTTTTTAAAAAATTGTTCATATTTTCAAAAAATTATTTTATCTAATTCTAAAAACATTTTAAAGGCCAAAGAAAACAAAAATTGCATAATTTTAACTTTTAAAAAATTCTTACTTTTATTTCATTTCTATCCTAAATTTTAACTTTTAAAAAATTCTTACTTTTATTTTATTTCTATCCTCTTTTTAACATGACCACAATAACAATAGCACTGGAAGAAAAAAATAGCAAGAATTCCTTCATAACTAAAATATCCAGTCTTGCTACAAAAGAATTTTGAAATAGGATAATATGAATCTGTTTTCTCTGGTAGAAGTAGGGAAGGGAAAGTTGAAGTGAAGTGGGGCAAGACTAGAAGACAGTAACAAAATAGCAGCCTATTGCAATAATCCCTGACAAGCAGATACGCCCACAAGGTACCTGGCTTCTAGTTCAAAGCTCCCAGATAGGAGTCAACATTTAACTGACAGTATTCATTCACACCAATATAGTAACTAATTCTACTTTTATTAAAGATGATTGATTGTAATAAAATTCTAGTCAGAAAGAAATGATTAGGCTTTCCAGAGAAAGATACTCTGTAACTCAAATATTAGAAAATACGAATTCCTACTATCTTGGGTCCCCTATATTAAAATATGCAAAATTATAATAGTTAACCCTTAGTTATAATTGAGTCTTCTTATATAAGAATATAATAGCTTTAAGGCCTTGAAACGATGACAAATCACAAAAAGCTAATTCCTGACAGTATTAGTTCAGAAGGGAGTTTTTCTAAAAGTTGTGGTACAGTGATATGAATAAGGAAAAGGAAATAAGGGATTTCAGTTCAAGAACTGCAAATGTGTAATTATTCTTAGTACTGCCCTATCCAAACTTGGATATGTCCTCAACTAACTCTTATCAACATCTTTATTCAACAGTGTTAAGCATTTTGAAAAATAAAATTAAATCTCCTTTTTTGATTGGATTTAAAACCACCTTGGAAATTTGGAGAAAGACACTTCCTACAGATTCCTAAAAACCAAAACAAAACAGTGACCTATTATGGACAAATCAAGTAAAATTAAGCAGTTATTCTATACTCATTACCATGTTAGGGACTGAAGGGAAAGGACACCGAAGGGCCATAGGAGGCCTCATATATATATATCACTGGGTATCACCCAGTCACATAAATTAAAGCTTTCTAAAATGGGCAAGAGAGATAAATCCTGGAAATGAAAAAAGACAGGGATAACAGGTGGCAAGAATGGTTAATTGGCAAAGAAACTACTGTCCTATGTGCTCTGCTTTAGTGAGGATGCTTCTGGTGCCTAAAGGAAGTGTTTTTGCAACATCTCATTAAATCAACACTTCTCAAAGTCAAAGCCATAGATCAGTGCTGATCTGTGAACTGTTTATCAATCTGCCATTAGTACAAAAATTGTTAGTAAACAGTTAATGTTGCCTCAAAAAACAAGTGTGTAATTGCCATTGGCAAATGTCTGGGGTTTAAGTTTGTGTGAGAGTAAAATCCAAAATGTAAATGCAATGACAGAAAAATATTCTGGAGTAGTTACAAAGGTTAAGGAGTTTATGCCAGAATTTAAATGACACACACTGCTTCTGTCATTGAAAAGAAATCTTGCTGGGAAAAACAATATAAGAGATAACTGAACAGTGTACTTAGTAACTGATAAAACAAAGGTGGGAATTATTTAAATCATATAGTACGTGTCAAATGAAGGATTCTCTTTATCCTAGCATAATATGGAAGATAACTGTAAAGAACTAATACTGCATTGCTCAAGTAAGAGGTTTATCATGGGGAAAGTTCTGCAAATGTTTACAGTATGAAACACATACCTAGTTTTTCTGAATAGTAATAAATGTATGATGCCCAAATTGTAAAGATGAAAATTTGACACCAAGACTTGTTAATTGGTCGTATATTTTCAGTATTTTAAATTATATTATGCCATACAATTAAGGAATACATTATTTTCAATGGTAGATAAGATCTGAAGGAAAATAAACTGAGAAGTGTGGAAGGACAAAGTTTCTACTGATAGGTATAACAAATCCACAGCAACAATCTAACAATTATCAACAAAGTAGGTGATTATCTTGACATTTTCTGTCTATAAAAGGTTTTGATAAACACTTTACATTTTGACAAAGAATTCTTAATTTTATTTTCCATTAAAAAACCTATACATAGGAAATTCACAGATCTGGAATCAATTTCTTAAATCAAAAGACAATTTAAACTCAACTATATTCTTGTAGGGTAAGTTTTAGAATGGCTATTGATGAAGGGCTGAAAGTGATTTTTGAAAATTATAGATCACTTGCTTCATTTTGGATAGAAGTTAAAAAGAGTATTCTGAACTTGCTAAAATTGCTTTAAAATTTCTTCCTCTGTTCCTGTCAACATACTTCTAGAATACTGGTCTTTTTCTAAGCATCATTAAAATTTGGATACAATATAGGACATGCCCCTCATATATAATGAGTCTGTCAATTCAGTCTAGTTTAAATTCTTTTGCCAGCAGTGCATCCCATTAAATGACAAAGAGACTAAAGTGTGCACATAGGTGTTGACAATGAGAAATCCTTAGTCCCTTCATAACTGTTTGTTACAACTGCACAGTTATGCATATAATAGTGATTTTTTATATTAATACCCAAAACATCATTTTTACTGTACAATGCATATAGAGGTCCTGTTATGTGTATTCTTATATTTATGGAAAATTTTAGGTCTACTGTATCAAGTAACAGATTGAATTTGAGACCTTGAGTTTTTTATACTTCTAGTAATCCATATTTAGTGTATCTACAGAAGTATTGGTCCAGGAGTAGTTGAGGGGCTGTGTGGGGTGGGGTGGGGAGCAGTTCATCACTTGCAAGTTATGAAGCATTGGTTTACCCAAACCATCCATTTTTCCACTCACATGCAACTCTGCCTCGTGTATCCAAGAATATGTAATGTTGTTAGGAATCAAAATAAAAAGATAAGCTGCGTTATCATTTCTGCATATGATATACAAAAGATTAAGAGATCACATATTTGGCTGTGTTCTTTTTTGAGATACTGATTCTTAGTCTGTCTTTTGCTTTTTACCTTACCCCTCCATTCCAGTAGAAACTGAAGCCCTTAGCATTTATTTATTTATTGTTTTTGCTGGGCATACAACCAAAATTATTTTAAGTCAAGATTCTTCCTTTTTGGTAAAAATTAAACTAAAATGGATTATCCCAAGTGTCTTCAGTCACAGAAAAGAAAGAAAGAGTACCTTAAGTGGAATAAAAAGAGAACCCCACTAAGCAACATAGGCTGGGAGAACATAATTGAAGGTACAACCAAAAATAAAAACAAAACCCTAAACAGCAACACCCTGACTAGGCAAAAATTCCAATGTTATCCCATTGCATTATATGGTCTATTCACAGGTAGAGGGGCTGTTGACTGGCACAGAAATGACTAGATATGTTGGAAGAGGCCAAGACATGAGTTTGACTTTTTCTGAAAGTCTAAAATGGTTGAATATCAGCAATTTTATATGACTCACCCTATTAATTGTAGTGATGGATTAATACAGAACAGTGATCTCTTATTTCAACATGTATAGTTGGTATCTCCAGACTTAATTCGTGCTGTGTATCGTAAAGATGATTTTGGTGCTGTATGGATTGGTGCATTCTATATTTGACACT